TTTCTTGCTTCTGCCACAAATTCCCCCAGCTGTGAGCCTTCCAACCTTCTAAGTATTCCTTTATATGTGGTTCAGAGTTCTGGGACCATCCCCTGAGCGTGCTTGGTCGGGTACTCTGTGTTGTTGATGGCGGAGCTCTCTGCTATACGTCCACCCGATCCGCCATCTTGTTTGTTCTTTTCTCTATGTACTTTTTGAAGCCCCCTCATATCATAGCACAGAACACATGGTAGAAGTATATTTGCTTTGTGAAACTTTCTTTTACTGTGTCTTTGCTATACATTAATTTAAAATGCAAAATGTATCTCATACTATGGCTGGCAGCTAAATGTTTAGGAACCACTACCTCAGAAGGTGGTGGGAGGAGAGGGAAGGGAGGGTGAGGACCTTCCCCCAGATCCACTGCTCTGGAATCTATTCTGACTCATAACGATAGTAGTATTGCCCCCAGGACATCTAAGGTTGTAAGTCTTCTATTGCCACAGTATCCCATGGGAGCAGCTGGTGGGTTCAAATAGCCTACCTTTTAGTTAGCAGTGGAACACTTTAACCACTGCACCACCAGGGCTCCCTGTGAGGAACTTCAATGTCAACAAATCTTGTCCCAGTCTCGTCCTTATTTTGACTGTCAGATGGTGCCTGCCTCAGTCCAGCTGCAGGGGTGTCAAGAAAGACTAAGCAGTGGAGTGCTTTGACATTTGAGGCACCAATCAGCATGGTGCTTCCCTAGACACACCTCCATTTCTACTCTGGCGGCCATTTTGATTACCTCCAGAATGACAGACACCAGTTGTGTGGTCTTCCCAGCGTTCAATCCATAGTGGGACCAAGTTAAAGATAGGAAATTGTCCACAGGACTCTTCTGTTTATCTTGACCAAGTCATTATTCCCACCAGGGTTTCTAAAGGAACAACTCCGTATTTGTTTGTTTCTTTCTTTTAGAGCATTGACATAGCACACGCAAAGCTGACTCCAGGCAAAATCTTTACCAATAAAGGGAATGTGGAAGGTGTCCAGATCAACCGAAGCCCTTATTCTTACCTTCAGAATCCACAATCAGAGAGAGCAAGGTGAGGAGGAATGGTCAAGATGACGTTAGTGTTTTTCCTGTAGCGAACAGGAATAGTCGCGTAATTTAAGTATGGATTGTAACTTGATGAACACCAAAAGAGTATTAAAGCCAAAATAATTTGTGAATGTGTTTGTAAACTCAGACAAGAAAAAGCAAAAAGTAAATGAAGAAACACACATGGACTTGTGCGCGTTTCTTTCCAGTTCCCTTGCTGTGAGAAGCAGAGTGGGTATTTGACTCAGGCACAAGTGTGGCCTCATCCCAGCTCTGCAACTTACTAGTTGTGTGGCCTTAAGGGATTTACTTCTCTTAATTTATGAACTTTCAGCTTTTTCATCTGAGGAACGCAGATAATAATGCACATATTAAATGCTTGTTAAATTAATGAATTTTATTTTAAAAATGTTTCATCCAAAAGAAAACATCTTAGTTCAAGAGAATGTAACTAGGGAGAGGAGATAAAAGAATAAAGAGCCAGAATGAAGAGTAAGAAATAAAGTCAACATAATGGGATGCATCTGAGGGAGATGATTATTTTGTCTGTTCTTTTTTCTTCCATCATGAACCAGGTTTAAGACCAAAGAGAAGGGCTTGATCACTGTGGTAGTGTAAAATAACAACTCAGTTTCAAGTTGGCCACTTGACGTTTTGCATTTGTCTGCATATATTTCAATAGTTTTCAAAGGAATTGATTTTTAGAAAATATAATCTGGTTTCTTTTGAAAGGACATAAAAGAATATTTCAAATTGTAATGCTTTTGTGTTGCATTTTCCTAGCTACTTTTCAGATGTTCTATTAAAACTTGATATGTAAAGAGAAATTTCAAAGATACAATCCTTTTGAATAAAAGTGCATATATGTCAAATTAGATAAAAATATAATATTAATTTAACTCTAGTCAGTTTATCTAGTGCCTTTGATTTTGATCATAATTGTAAACCATTTCCTTAGCTGAAGGATGAGGTGCATGGGACCATGGCTTATCAGGGAGACTCACTTAATGAAAGGAACTTTTGCTTTTGTATTAGCTTTATTGCTTGTCACACATGAGGACCAGACTCTAACACAAATTTGACTAAGCTTCTCTGTTTTCCTGACCAGGTATTCTTCAAATACAGACAAAGAAATGGTAGTGTTGAAAATGGTTGATCTGAATGGAGATCACCTGGGATTTCTCAGGTACTGTATTTCCTTTTCCAAATCTGTCAGGATAACGCCTTTTAATTATAGGGTGGAGGGAGAGAGATAATGGAACTGTGTCAGCAGAGAGAACAATAAGTCAAGGGCTTCAGTGTTGACTCAGAAGGCAGACACATCTGGCTTCCAGCTATGTGACATTGGGCAAGGGTTTCAGTCTCCAGGGGATTTGATCTTTTTCTATTACCTGAGGTGACTACAAACATTACTTAATGAAGGATCTCAGTAAAGAGCTCAGTACAGCATCTGGCACATTATATAAAGGCTCAGTTAAACATTGGTCTTTATTGCTATATCAAGATCTTATATGTGGAATTTTATGATGGCGCACCATGATCTCTTGCTAAAATGGGGACTGTAATCTGACCAACCAGGCAAGTAATTATTAAACCTGTGCTTTCCTAAAAGGGTTAAGTCTAATTCAGGACAATGCCAATTGCTGCTAAAAGCAGAACCTATACCACCTAAAGGAAGCAAGTTTAAATTATAGTTACGCAAGATTCTAGCGCTGTTCTCTGGAAGTGACTGCATATAAGGAAGCTCATGGATTTCATTTTTTTCAAAAAGAAGGCGTTTACATTCAGATGTGGTTTGGTCCCTGCATTTGGACTGCCTTAGAAATTGACTAGATAGTAAACATGCTGTTGCTGTTAAGTGCTGACTCATAGCGACTCTGTATAGGGTTTCTAAGGAGCAGCTGGTGGGTGTGAACCAGTGACCTTTCAGTTAATAGTCCAGTGCTTATACTACAGTACCACACCAAGACTTGGTGGTTAACATAGGGCCAGACAACTTTGATCTTGACTTGTCCTTATTAGCTATGTGATTTGGACAAATTCTATAATTGCTCTGTGTCTCTGAAATTGTGGGACAAAGGAGTTCTTAAAATGTTGAAAACGTGTTCGTAAATGTGGTAAGGGGGTGTACAAAAGGATTCTGAAATAATCAAAGGGAAATAGTTGTTGTGAAGTGCCGTCGAGTTGATTCTGACTCATAACAATCCTATATAGGGTTTCTGAGGAGCAGTTGGTGAGTTTGAACTGCTGAACTTGCGGCTCAAACTGACTTGCAGTCCAGTGCATTATCCTGAAGCGTGACACCAGGACTCCATTGAATTAAGAATAACAAAGGAGTAAAGAAAAACATTAAAAGCCAAGACTCATGATTCAGCCATGAAGATTGGGTTTATAATTAGGAGAAATACAGCAACATGGTGCTAAGTACAAGCTTTGGCATCAGCTGGACTTGGGTCAAATTGCAGTCCTGCTAGTTGCTAACTCTGTAGTCTGAAGAAAGTAACTTGTCCACTTACACCTTAGTAATCCTCTTTGAAAATTACAATGATAATAGTTCCTAGGATTCTTTGAAGATTAAACTAGATGATGCATGTGAAGCTCTAGTGCTGTGCCTGAAATATAAGAAGAGTCTAATAATTTTAGCTAAAAGGTAAAAGATAGAATAAGATTCTACCTGTTTCAAATAAATTCACCACTAGCATATCAGAATGCCTAGCATTTGAGTCACTAGAGGCAGGGTCACTAAAAAGTCCCTGTTAAAATAAACTTTGTTCTGTAGACTGACATCATAAAACTTGTTCTTCCATTACAATATAATCATCTACTGATTGATTGTTATGTGGCAGGTAATTCAACAGACTTTCTATATGTCAGGCACTTATATGTGCTTGGGGTATGTTATACTAAATAAGACATAGTCCCAATTCTAATGTGCTTAAAGATTAGTGGGCTGATTGTGGGGCAAGAGGAGAGACTGACAGACAAGTAACCATAAGTCAGATGACCACCATGCTGTCATAAATAAATACTGTGGTAATTTGGAGGCGATAGAAGTCCAGGTGTGCTGCTGTTGGATAAGTTCTGGACTGCCAACCTTAAGGCTGGGGATTCAAATCCACTAGTCCAGACTCTAAAGTGTCACTATGGGTTGGAATAGACTTGATGGCACTTAACAACAACAACAGTACTGAGCTTTGTCCGGGAGCATGTTGGAAGGTTTTAAAGAGAAAACATTTGAACTGGATCTTGAAGGAGCCTTGTGATTTCTCTTGGAGTTAGGAAGAACAGTGAGTTGTAGGCCAGAGTGTGGGCTTGGTCAGGGAGTGGGTAAGAGATGAATCTGGAAAAGTAAGTGAATTCTAGATTATAAAGCACTTTCAGAAGAGGGTTCTAACCAGTAGTGTCAGGATAAGACTATAGATCAAGGCTAGATAGACTAAACATCTCAAATCAATTGGGAGAAGTTGGCTTTTCCCTTACAGTTTCTATGAACTCTTAGCTTACTGACTGAGATCAGTCACATTTTCTTTTACTAGGTTCTGAACCATTTAACTATAGGAACAGAACATTTAAAAAATGCTATCCTTCTGACCAGATGGTCTTTGCTTCCTTGCATATAACTACATTGCAAATCTAGAAGTCCCAGGGTCAACTGTCAAGGTTATAACAACAACTTTCCATCTGCTGAGTTTGACACTGCAATAACTTTCCATTGTTTCTATAGTGGCCATATGTTATTCTTGATGAAATTGTTCCTGCAGTTGTTTTCTGTTGCATAGTGACAACTGCTCATTGAATACATTAAAAATGATCCAAAATATGAAGCCAGATCTGGGCTGCTGGAATAACTCAGTTACTATGGGTATGTACTTGCTGTTAAATGGTATACACAATCACAAGGAGGCCACATCTGACCTCCTCTGACTTCACAAGGTGGGAGGAGAGTCAAACACTACATCAGGTCAAGACTGATTCCTATAAGGCAAAGGTCAAACATGCTTCCATCCTCCAACCTTCTTACCACCGTCCTTCCCATAGCACTCTATTTCTCAGGTGGTGAAAATAATTCATAGCACTGGCCACTCAGAACTCACAGACAATACAATTATAGGGCTTATTAGGGAAACTACGTATGAGGTTACAATTCAGGACCAGAACTGTTCAGGATATAGTGCTTTGGTTAGGATAGCCTCTTCCCAACCATGTCTGTGATCCGAACCTCTCAGCGACAAGGGACCTTGACCTCTGCCCTGCTCAGGCACTGTTACAAAGCTCCATAAGTTCTGCTGACAAATGCTCCAAGGGTGCTCGACTTCACTGAATGCACTCAGCTCTAGCTCTGTGGGTCAGCAAGCCTAGTTTCCACCAGTTAGGTGCCTGGAGGCAACCTAGTCCACAAGTGAACTTCTTGCCTGAAAGCACTCAGATTTACTCACTCAGGGGGCTGGGAAGCCCATCACTGTGTCTCATGCTTTGGCTCTTGGTTTCGCTGTTGCTGCTCTCTGTTGCTCTTCTGCCACACCAAATGTGCCACAGCACTGTCTCCTGGGTCAAGGAGCAACTCACAGGGATCTCAAGGTCCAAAGGACATACTCCACTCTGGGCTCTTCTTTCTTGTTGATAGCAAGGGCCCCACTATTGCTGCTGAGATGGTTCATTGTATACTCAGCAGAATGGCAAAATTGCTCATTCCCCATGTTAGGATTCTAAGTTCTTACAATCACATTTAGCCTGGTTAATAATCACTCACAACTGAAGCATATCATCCTATCAGCATCTTCCCCCACTTTTATTTTCAAGACCCATCTGGAAAAGAAGAAATAAACCCAATCGGCATGGTATCAGTCAGTCGTTTGGTGGGAGATACAAAGGCTATGGATAGAAGAGTCATATCAAATAATTCACTGCATCACAGATGAAATCTTAAGGTTCAGGGAGTTTGGGAAGCATAGAATCTCAAAATTGTGTGGCATGGAGATTCAACTGAGGAGCCAAAGTCTAAAAAGGCAGTGTGACCTAGTCAGTGCCATAGGAATAATTTATAGTGAAGCCAAGAGCATCTTTTTCACACTAAAAACCATACTGAAGTTCAAATGCCTTCATTCCTACTTTCATTTTGTCTTCATTCAAGGAGCTTACACTAGGATTCTACAATGTGCCATGAGATACTTCCCAGTTCAGGTATCCCCTGCCTTTCAAAAGTTTGCTTTATGCCACTTTAAAAAACCTGCATTAGTATCTGTTTTCACTAGCTGAAAGAAATCCAAAGGTAATTTTCATTTTTACAACAAATGGTGAAAAGAGAAACCAGCATTCAGTGTTTTGCTGTGAGCTGGGGGTAGTATGCTGAGCAGAGAGGGTGGCATTGCCAAGTTACTTCCCTAATAACCACATGGTCCATAATTTCTACTTTATATAGCCTGTGTCTTTGTCATATCACTCCTGATTTTTCTACCTGTTGGTGCTGTTTTAGATTGTTGCATGGTTTGCTATGATTTGGTAGACTATTTTTCCGGTATAACTGAGTGATAATTGCTGCTTTCTTTTCTGCCATTTTGGCTTACAAAAGTTTTCAGAGGGACACTCCACTTCTGGCTAGTGGCAGTGATGATGTACTTTTGAGTTGGTTCTGACTCATAGAGAGCCTGTGTAGGGTTTCTGAGGCTGTAAATCTTTATGGCAGCAGAATGCCGCAACTTTCTCATGAAAAGCCTCTGGTGGATTCGAACTGCTGACTTTGTAGTTAGTAGCCCAGCTCATAATTTACTACACTACCGGGGGACTCCTTCTACTTCTGGATGTTGTTGTTGTTTTTAAGTGCTGTTGAGTTGACTCTGACCCATAGTGACTCTGCATAGGGTTTTTGCGGAGTGGCTGGTGGATTTGACCCACTGACCTTGCAGTTCAAACTGACCTTGTGGTCCAGTGTATTATCCTGCTGCACCACATAGCAAGGGAATAATGTATTCTTCTTTGGGATTATGCATTCTCTGACCTTGGGACCAGAATATCTATGTTTATATTCTTTGTGCAAATCCTTTCAGCTCTGTGAGACACAGTTTCCACATTTTTACAAATGCAAAGATAACACCTTCCCTCCCACAGAGACTCATTCATGTATTAAATATTTGTGGAATATAAATGCTATGCACTGAGCTTGTACTAGGGATAGTTTGTTGGCAAAAA